TTGATTTAGTGAAATGAGTTTTACTAAGTGTTGGGCTTTGAACATGGAAAGGGGATTCCCACTAGTTGAAGTGGTTGGTGTACTTGGAGTACTTGGTGAGATCAGATCTATAGTGTGTTTCATTATGGTTGTACAGCTCTATTATTGAAATTTGGCGACCTCTTGTGTACAGTTATAAAATAACAAGGCTGTGGAAGAAACATTTCAGAGCTTTCTGTCAGATGCTTCCTTGCTTTGAATTTCTTTGAGGATGGTAATTTTCAATTCATAATTCCTGATTTGATATTTATCCATGGATAAATTTATAATAAATTTATTTAAATGAAAAGTTTTAGAAGAAATGTGATGGGACCAGGTATAGCTGAAATGATTGATTTATTATAAGGGGATGAATAGCCGCCAAGGGATATGACCATTGGAACAGAAGAGAGAATCCAGAAATAAATCCACACATTCACAACCAAATTATTTGACAGTCACCAAAAAGCATAGAAGAAAGGGTAATTTCTGTAATAAATGATGATGAGAAAAGTAGATACCTATATACAGAAGAATGGAACTATATCCCTGTTTCTCGCCATGTAAAAAGAAAAAAAGCCAACTCAATATGAATCAAAGACCAAGTGTAAGACATGGAACTACTAGTAGAAAACATAAGAAACATAACTTCAAGACATCCATATAGGAAACGATTTGGGGGAGTATATCCCCATAAGTTCAGGCAACAGAAGCAAAAACAGTCTTTATCAAACTAAGAAGCTTCTGCACAGCAAACAATAGAATGAAGACAGATTGCAGAATGGGAGAGAATATTTGCAGATTGTTTATCAAACAAGATATTAATATCCAGAATACATAGGAAACAAAAAACAGCAAAAAAAATCTGATTTTTAAAAAATTGGCAAATGAGCTGAATATACAGTTTTCAAAAGAGGATATGCAAATCGCCAGCATTTTTATGAGCCTATGATCAACATCACTAATCATCAGGGAAATGATGATCAAAACCAAAATGAGATACCATATTACCCCAGTTAGAATGGCTATATTTTAAAAGACAAAAGAAAAAAAGAACCTGCTGGCAAAGGATGCAAAGAAAGAACAACACATTGTTAGTGAGAATGTAAATTAGTATGTCTGTTATGGGAAAACAGTATGATTTCTCAAAAAACTAAAAATAGAACTGCCATATGATCCAGTTATTCCACTGTTGTCCATTTCCCAAAGGAAATGGAATAGTATATCAAAGAGATAACTGGGCTCTCATCTCATGTTTATTGCAGCCCTACTGATAATAGCCAAGATACAGAGTCAGCTGAGTTATCCATGAGCAAGGGAATGTACAAATTAAATATGAAATATGTACACAATGGGATACTCCCTGGCCATTAAGAGAGAGAGAGAGAGAGAAAAGAAGAAGGAGGAGGAGGAGGGGGAGGGGGAGGAGGGGAAAAGAAAGAAAAGAAAAGAAGAAAGAATCCTGTTATTGCAGCAACATAGGCAGAGGAGGACATTGTGTTAAGTAAAATAAGCCAGGCACGGAAAGTGAAATTCCATGTGTTCTTACTTAAAAATATAAAACCTACACTCAGCTGGTTTTGAACTTTAATAAAGGCAGTCATACTATAGGTATTCATTGTTGAGTAAAAATTCATCCCTGTGTTCATGAGATCATCCATAAGATGGATAGCTCCAGTTTATTTATTTACATTGCTAGTTTATATGCCATTGGCTATACAACAACTTACATTAATTCTGTTGATGGATTTTTTGCTTTTTGTCATCAATGTTTATTACTTTGAACAATGTGGTTTTAAATGTATAAGAATTTCTCTTGGTTAGGGTATATAACTTAAAATGAACAGATTATAGGGTCAATGAATCTATGCATTTATAAATACTCATTTATTCATTTCATTCCTGTTGTTTTTTCAACTGGAGTTGCATGTGGAGGAACAAAATTACTGATAGGCTCACTAGTACTCCCTCATTCTTCTTTACTCTTTTCCCTGTCTCCCAGTACTTGTACACAGACACACCCTCCCCTTCATCTGAAGTATAGTATAATATAATATATAAGTGCTTGCTTGTATTTGAAAATAAAAACAAATGCTTTTTAGCCTTCTTTTATGCATGAACAATGCCTGGCTTATAAATGTCTATTATCTATAGCTACTGAAACCAGAGATTTACTTTCCTGATACAGATAGCATGTTCCTTTCTGTTAAACGAAAAATGTACTCCAAGAGGGATGAGAGGAGGGTATATAGTTGGAGATGTATTACTAGTACCCCCCAAGACAGTACTCTCCCCCAGCGTAGTGTTAGAAATAGGATTTAGAAGATGTGTTGTAATGTAGATTATTTTTACATTTTTAAATTTTCTTTCCAAGAATATCAAAAGATTACTCAGAAATTTTAAATGGTTAAAGGTCAGTTTATAGTTAACTAGATTACTTTTTTATACCAGTGAATAATACAGATCAGAATATCCCATCCATCTATTTTAACCCAAACTTTATGTATTCTAATATAATTTCTGAAAGTTCTCATTGCAGGTATAATTGGCATGTAGTAAACTGCACGTATTTAAAGTGTACAATTTGATAACTTTCGACATCTGGATATATTTATAAAGTCAAGATAATGAACATAAGCATATACCTTCAGTAGTTTCCGTATCTGTTTGTAATTCTTTTTTTCAGCCACTTGTAGACAGAATGAATCTTATTTCTGTCACTATACCTAAAAATATTTCTAGAATTCCATATGTATGGGCTTATAAATTAGGTGTACTTTTTGGTCTAGCTTCTTTCACTCAGCATATATTTTTTTAATTTATTCATGTTTTTTAGTTTTTTGTTTGTTTTTATCACCAAGTAGTATTTCTTCATATGATTATCCACGATTTGTTCATTTACCTGTTGATAGATGTTTGGGTTGTTTCCACTTTTTAGCAGTTACATAAAAGGTGCTGTGTACATTTGTGTACAAGTTTTGTATAAATATTTGCTTTCATTTGTCTTCTGTAATACCTAGGAGTGGGAATGATGAATCTTATGAAATGTATATATTTTAACTTTTTAAGAAACTTTTTCAAAGGTACTACACCATTGTACACTTTCATCAGCAGTTCTAAAAGCTTTAGTTGTTCTGCATCCTTGCCAAGACATGATATGTACAGTCAAACTTTAGCCTTTTTGTCAGGTACATACTGGTATATTGTGATTTTAATTAGTATTTTCCTAACAATTAATGATGGTGAACATTTTTTCATGTGCCTATTTGCTCTCTGTTGTCTTTGATGAGATGTCTTTTGACTGTTTTTATTGAGTTGTCTTCTTAGTGCTTTTCATTTATTTCTTACTCATTTTATTCCAAGTTATTTTGTCTGCTGTCTTAAAGGTCTTTTTAAAAATGTTTTTTCTTATGGTTGGGGTTGTGGCTAAGTGGTAGAGCACTTGCCTAGCATGTGTGAGGCACTGGGTTTGATCCTCAACACCACATATAAATAAATAAATAAATAATAAAGATACATTAACAACTAAAAAATATTTTTTAAGAAATGTTTTTTCTTCACTTTTGGTTCACACATATTAATTATACATATTTATGGGGTACAGTGTTGCATTTTCAACACATGTATATACAATGTGTAATCATCTTATTAGGGTAATTGGCATATCTATCACTTCAGGTATGTATGACTTCTTTGTATTGGGAATATCCATACTCTTCTCTACCAGCTATTTTGAAATATTTAATTGTTGTTAGCCATATTTAATCCTATTGTGCTATAGAACATTAGAAGTTACTCCATCTAACCAACTGCACCCTTATACCCACTAACCATCCTCCCATTTCTCCTTCTCCCATACCCTTCCCAAGTTCTGGTAATCAGTGTCTTATTTCTACTTCTTTGATATCAACTTTTTTTTGCTTCCACATGTGAGAACATGCAATATTTGTCTTTATATGCCTGAATATTTTACTGTCCTTCAGTTCCATCCACATTGCTATAAATGGCAAAATTCATTTTTATAACTGAATAATATTCCATCATGTACATATACCAAAATCTAGGTTGATTCCATATCTTGACAATCAATGCCTTAATAAAACTTGTTTTATTATACAGATGTGTCTTCAGTATTTTCTAAACTATAAGAATTCTTTATGTATTTCAAACACTTTGCAGAATATGTGTTGCAAATGTTTTCTCCCAATCCATGATGAACTGTTTTTAAATTTTTAATGAAGTTCTGAAAGTTTTAATGGAGTCTAAAAAATATGAAAATTTTTGCTTTATCTTGGATGATTATAGAACTATCCCTGATTATTCTCTGGTTGCTACCACACACTACTTATCATTGCATTATTCTCCTTCTATGTAATTGTCCTTGAATTGTAAATGATAAAATATTTTATTTCAACAAACTTTGGTTTTTTTCTGCATTCTGGGATTATAAAGATGAATAATATGTGGTATCTCTCTTCAGAGTACCCATTTTTAGCATTTAATATTTTTTTCTGATACCTTTCTTCTGAGGTCCGTGTACTTTGTTTAGTGCCTAGTATAGCTCTAATTACTTAATATATTTTTGCCTTATTCCTTATTCCTTTTTGAAAATGTACAAATAGGCGAGTTTATTGTAGGAAATCTCTTGTTCTTTGTGTCCTCCACAGATCATACTATAGTTCCTTATACTCAGGGGACACTCATAAATATTCAGTGATGGAATGAAATTAATGATGACTAATATATTAGTAATATGATCTTTGGCTATACCTTACAAAGTGAGTAAAAGATACTTTCATTCCAGATGCGATAATTGCAGACAGATTATTTTTAAAAATAGAACAAAGATGGTGATGCCTGATTCTTACTTGATTTTTAAAATTTTTGTCTAATTTATTTATTGTTTTGTTGTTGTTTTTTGTTTTGTTTTGTTTTTGCAGTGCTAAGGATAAAACCCAGGATCTGCTGCATTTTTTTTTTAAACCTGTTTGAAACTATCCCGCATACTATATGCCAAACTACACTCTAAGACCAGCTTGAACTTAGGTTTTCTCCTTTCACAGATGCTAAGACCAGTGATCAGATCTGACAGGAAAGGAAACCAGAGGGTTACTTGATTATTTTTTAGTAATTTTTTTTAATGAGCCAGGTTTACATTTTTATTATCCTCAGAAATCTGTGTCTAAGATAGTATAAATTTGATAGTAATTTAGAGCTGTTCAATTACTAATTCAATTACTAATTGAAATGTTTTCCCAAAAGTCTGCTCCATTCTCTTAGTTACTTTTTAAATTTAACTTTGAAATTCTTTTGTCATGAAACCAATGCATTAAAACACAATGACTATAAGTATGTGGGGAAAGATGGCAATAATTTTCTTCGTTTATCTAGGTCCTGGGAACACCAACAAGGGAGCAAATTAGAGAAATGAACCCAAATTATACAGAATTCAAATTCCCTCAAATTAAGGCACATCCATGGACAAAGGTGAGTCAAAATTAGTTTTTAAAGAAACCACATCAATCAATAGTTGATTTGGATTTCTTGTTGTTTATAAACTGAATTATTTTGAGACTAGATAGCTGCCTGAATACAAGCACATAGCAGTTCTGCATGTAAAGATAGTTGAGTAATTGTTCTTCAGTGTTTCATTGACTGTGTACAGTTTTGTTCCCATTGATTTCCTGTAGACAATTTCCAGCCTGGGCTTTCATTTGCAAGGTAAGGACTGTGTATCTATATCATTAAAATATTGGAGTAGGATATTACATATAAAATTTGACAACCTGAAATTCAGAAGTTAATCTCTTCATTTACATAGAGTGCATACTTCAATATTATATAACAAATAATAACATACATTTCATATATTTTCTATATTCTTTGTTTAAATTATTAAAACATAGACCTAATTATAGATGTTGTTGTGTGATTTTCTTTCCTTGTTTACTTTTCTATTGGTATTTTGGGAGCAAGATTAAAAAGCAGACGTAATCTTGCTGTGAGTATACATTACAAGCAATTGCTGTATTTACAGGATGTCAAAAGCCATTGGAAAAACCTAATCTTAACATTAAATGGAACCAGTTCTAAAAGCACAATTATTAATTTACTAGAAAACTTTGATACTTAAATGATTTTAAGAAAGATTTTATTACAATCATCTCAATTTGATTTGTGAGATTGTGTGCAAACAAAACAATAGAAACAGAGTGAACTCTAGCTTCTTTATTTTACAGATTCAGAAACTGACCAAAGATAACCAAGCAAGTTATCCAAAGTTACATAGGTGACCTGTAACACATTCAGGATTAAACTCTCTCTCTGTGTGTGTGTGTGTGTGTGTGTGTGTGTGTGTGTGTTTAATGCTAGGTCTTTAAACTTATAGTAATGTGCCAAGTACCATTATATGTCACTGTATGGTTTTTTTGTGAATTAGATACAGTGTACTCTCTATTATGTATTTCAAGCAGACACTTTCTATATTTAAAAATATCCACAGAGCTATTTGTTTTGTACATTGAAAGTTCATTTAGTTGGTAATAGATCTTTTACAAACAAGAATTGAAGTAATCTAGAGCTGTTGATTAAATAATTTACACTACCTAGAGTCAAAGCATGTCTGCCCCTCTCTTCCTGTTCTTCTCAATGATATTGTAATTCTATTTACTTTTCTTAAAGTTCTCACAATCTCATTACCTCTCTTTACTAATTATTTCCTATTTAAGTCCAAGACCTCAGTAATATTTTAGTGCCAGAGATTTATTGGTTATAGCTTTCGTTGGCCAACAGACCAAGGTGTATACTCCCTTCCTTTAAAAAAAAATTCATGATGTGCACCAAATAATCTTTGATAAGGTTTCTTTTGATCTTTGACTTAAGGTTTAATTGAGATCTGAGTCACAAGATATCTGGAGTTTCTCACCTGGCTCTAAACCCAGAGATTGCCAGGGAGCCTATTTGGATTTAGGTGCTAAATTGCAGTTTGGATCCATTAGCTTATTACAAGTTAAAGTGTTTATAATAAGTGGTTTGTAGTATACTGTGATTTCAGCCAGTTTAAAGGAAAAACAACACAGGGAATTCTGTATATTGAATGAACACAGGAAAATCTTCCAAAAGGCTAACAGATTTGGGTTAGAAAAATATTAGTGATTTTACCTTCTTTGTTCTACCAATCCATATTTCTGTTTTCTGTAATAATCATTATTTTTATGAAGAAGAAAGAAAGTTTTTTTTTTTTTTCAGTGTAATCTAAGTATTTATCACATGTTATCCTCAGTGTATAACCAACAGATGTAGTGCTGAAATTGAGGTCATAGAATCTTATTTAACAGTCCCTGTCCTTATTTATTTATTTTTTAATTAACACTGCCACCAACATTAGTGTGTGTCATTTTCTACATTTTTACCCTGGATTATTTCTCTCCAGTAGAACAATTAGCCAGAGTGGTACAAAAGCATTGATTTATTATAATTAAAATATAGCCAACAGAAGAGCTGTGGTAAATTTTTATGGTTTTAACTTTCCTCTGCTTTCCCAGATTCCTGGCTATTTCTATAACATCCCTAATGTTTCTCAACCTTGAATTATAAAGCCCTTTTACTTAGATTTCCATTCCTGTTCAATGTGTAGAATAATAACTTAATTCTCCTCTCTTTTCCGTCTGTTAAAATTATTGTGAACCCTTCATTCACGTAGTATTCTTTGACATAATTTTGTTTTCACTTTATATAAATGCATTGTATAATAAGCAGATTGGTGTTAATTTCTCATTGGTACACACAAACTTGGGTGGTGCGAGAAACTCCATGGTTCTACTGTCAGCTAGATGATCAGAAGATGTGATTAAAAAAAAAAAAAAAGATTATGATTAAAATGAAAACACAAAACTTAAGACACCAAGGGAAAACTTAGCCCCTCTCTCTTTATTTCCCCCAATTATAATACTGAACAGCAATTTAAGAAATGCTGTGTTATGCTAGGCAGCCAGTGGTATCATTTTAAAAGCATGCATAATGTTGTTTAAAGAAGAGAGTCTACCCTTGGAGTCTGGAAACAAGAATTGCCTTTTCTTTATTGCTGTCTTCCGTTAGAATCCACTTCAATCCCATTTCCTGAAGCTTTGGGCATGGGAACCCTGGTTTCCTGGGCTGCATTGTATTATAGCTAAATCACTAGGACTGGTAGCTGGTATTCTCAAAAACATGGGCAAAAATAAAATTAATGGTAAAACTGTGTTCCATGGAAAAAGTTAGATAAGGGAATACAGGTATATAGGAAAGTTATAGAGGAAAAACAAAAACACTGAGATAATCCGAGCATGTTGTGTGGCAGGTATCTTGAGGATTTAAAAAGCCATTAAGTTGCCCTTGACTATTACATAATAGCAAGTGCAACCTAATTCATTAAAGTACTTGTGGATTAAGTAGGAAAGGAAATAGGTGCTATGTTTTAAATAGGAACCATTACTGGAAGGTGGGAAAATAAAGTCCTCTGCATTGGTATATATTGTACTTCAAAAAAGAAAAATGAGATTAAAAGCAAAAATAAGTGCTACAAAAGTAGGTTGAGATTGGTTGGAGAAAGAGAAGAAGCTTAATTTCTGCATTTAGTACAGGGAGGAATGGATAGATGACAGGCTATTAGGAACTGAGGATCTAGTTGAAAGACTGCTGCTTCTATGTTTCTGTCTACTTTTTTTTTTTTTTTGTAAGACAGTGATTATCTGCCATGTCTTGTGATTCTTTTGAAAATAAAACTATAATATGCTTATAAGGGTTATTTTAATTATGAATAAATGTGAACATTCTGCCTCCATTATAGTTCTCTTATTTGTCCTCTTATTCTGTTTCCACTGGCCTGACTTTAGTTTATACCATTGCCATATCATAGAATTATAAAACAACCTATTACTTCCTGATTGCCTTCCTTCAGTTTTACATCATTTTAATCCATTCTCCTTGTTGCTGTCAGTGTTAGCTTTCCTAATAGTATATGTTAGACTCATAGTCCTTCCTATTTTAAATTCTTTCTGATTTCTCAAAGCCTTTAAGGACATTTGGCATATAATACATAAAATGACAATTGGTGATCTGTGTCCTGATTTTTGCCTATCCAATGTAGTTATTAATTGATACCCCTTTATTCTCAAAAGTAACCCAGTTTGGATAACAGATTACTCTGTAACAGTTCTTGATCTTTTCTACTTTTTCTTTCCAGAAAAATAGGAGACTGTTCTTGTCCTGCTCCTAGCCTTTCCTCAATTATCTAGTTGCTCGAACCTAGTCTCCCAGATTCTCCAACTTCTTCTATCTGTAAATGCATGTTATAAGACAATGAATTTAAAGTGGTGGAATGAATCTGATCAGACTTTCCTATGGACATATATGAATAAATATAACACAGTTAATTTTACCTTTATATATATTCACAATGCACTAATTTTTAAAAAACTTAAAAATTTAGTGTCTAGTTATAGCAGATAGGGATTTCTAAAAAGATTATATATATATCTACTATCATGTAGATATGTATCAACTATTACCCCCCTCCCCCTTTTGAGTACTTGATTCTGATGCCTTTTTGTTTAAATTCTGGAGACAAAAAATTTCATTTTGTTCTGGTAGTAAATAATTTTATGAGGTCAGTAAAGTGACAGATAAATGAATATTCTTTCAGAATAATAGAAGTCATAAATGACATAACTGGTTTGTAGAGGAAGTAGATTAGAATCCCAAGGGCTCTGATCTCTTTAACAGTTATATTTAGTGCTACTTAATATGTTACGTACATATGGGAGTCTTGTTCAGCCGGTAGCCTACTTTGAAGGGGCCATGCAGTCATGCTGAATTTTCCAGTCTAACCAAAATCCTAATTGTTCCCTAGAGAAACCACATTCATTTCTACCTCTTGTTGGTACCACCCCCACCCAACATCACCTTTTAGAATGTTCTTTTTTTTCCCCTCTGCTTACGAAGTCTTAACCTTCCTCAAGATCTCAAGTCTCACTTCTCCCATGAAATATTTGCTTGTCTAAGTTCTCCATGATTATTCCTACCATGTAACTCCTGAGGCAACTTACCAAGTCATACCACATGTGTATTACAGCAGTTGCTAATTTGTTTTATAATGATAATACGGAAGTGAATTACTTTAAAATGTTTGTTGCCAAATGTGGGGCATATATGATAGCTTAATACTCAGTGGTTAAGTGTCAAACCTGCCATAGGTTTTATGGACAATATAAGTCATTGGGTAAGTATCCCCAAAAGCGTTATCCCCATAAACAATCCTTGCATACTTGATTTCTTAGAACACTGTTGACAGTGTGGATGCTAGTATTTCCAACAAAGTAAGCAGGTAATTGAGTTCTGAGGTCTTCAGCTATCAAAAGAATCATTTGATCATTTTAGACTAGACAAGTTATTGGTTATCTATGCTTAGAGCTAAACAAACAAAAAAGAGCCATTACCTTTTTTTTAGA